CAGTGAATGGCTGCCGTCAGAATGAGCGTCCAAACAGCTGATAAAAACATCACAATAATCCACAAGTAATCCACACATCACTCCAGTCCATCAGTTAATGTCTTGAGAAGCCAAAAGCTGCATGTTTGTAAGAAATAAAACAAAACTTGTAGATTATTGTGATGTTTTTATCAGCTGTTTGGACTCTCGTTCTGATGGCACCCATTCACTGCAGAGCATCCATTGGTGAGCAAGTGATGCTACATTTCTCCAAATCTGATGAAGAAACAAACTCATCTACATCTTGGATGGCCTGAGTGCGAGTACATTTTCAGCTAATTTTAATGTTAGGATGAACTATTTCTTTAACAAGTTGTGGTTTTCTTCTTTTGCAGTCCCTGAGTCTCGAGTGATGCACTCATTCTTACTGTACAGTCCCGCTTGAAGGCAAACAAGCCGTCAGATCAGATTTGTGGTTGCGTCTGATGTCTTGTTGCACGTTGTTTGGCTCCGCTCTAATGCTTCTTCATTAGTGTGTTTTTATAGGCGACAGCAGCATGTGAAGACCTTCATACACTTCACTCCACGTTCATTAAAGCTTTTAGTGCAGCCTCGTATTTTCCATTTGCAGCAGTTATCTCCAGCATTTCTCCTTTTATGTCTAAGTAAATTATAACTTTTGGCTCTGTGTGGATGCTTTCTATAAAACAGTTTTTAAAAAGTAGAAGAAAATTGATAAAAACTGGCAGTAACGACATTTAAAATGTTATGATTTCTATAAACACTGTTCGTTTTACATTCATCAAAGAATCATAAAAATAAAATCTATCAATTTTTCCACAAAAAATATGAAGCAGCGCAACTGTTTCCAACATTGATAATAATCAGAAATGTTCTTTGAGCAGCAAATCAGCATATTAGAATGATTTCTGAAGATCATGTGACGCTGAAGACTGGAGTAATGATGCTGAAAATTCAGCTTTGATCACAGAAATAAAATAAATTTTTATATATATATTCAAATAGAAAATGGCTATTTTGAGTTGTAATAATATTTCACAATTTTACTGTATTTTAATCAAATAAATGATGCCTTGGTGAACAGAAGAGACTTCTTTCTAGGGCTGCAAAACGATTAGTCACAATTAATCGATTCAAAATAAAAGTTTGTTTACATACTATATGTGTGTACTGTGTATATTTATTATGTATATATAAATACACACACATGTGTATATATTAAAATAAAAATTTTAGATTTATATGTAAAATATTTATATTTTTTTTAGTTCTGTCAAACGATTAATCGCGATTAATCGCATCCAAAATAAAAGTTTTTCTTTACATAATATATGTAATATATGTACTGTGTATATTTATTATGTATATATAAATACACACACATGTGTATATATTAAAATAAAAATTTTAGATTTATATGTAAAATATTTATATTTATATATAATATAAATTATATACAAGAGTTTACATACAAATACATACAAATATGTTTTTAAATATATATACATATATGTACAATGACGTATACATTTCCCTTGGTGATTAATAAAGTTTATCCAATCCAATTACTCCAGTCTTCAGTGTCACATGATCCTTCAGAAATCATTCTAATATGCTGGTTTATTATTAGAATTATCAATGTTGGCAACAGCTGTGCTGCCAAATATATTTTTTTGGAAACTGCGATAGAAACTTTTTTCAGGATTCGTTGCTGAATAAAAAGTTAAAAAGAACAGCATTTATTCAAAATATTAAATCAGGACACTAAAGCCTTGTTTCTTCTGGCAGAGCATGTGTGCTCCATCATCGCCTCCATGCTGAGGAACCTCAAAGGGCAGCAGAGAAGTCGTCTCCTCAGCAAGTTCACAGAGAACGACTGCGAGAAGGTAAAAATAAGACAGCTGACGGTACGGCTTTATTATCTTCTGCTTCTAAAAACGGCAGAGTGACGACAAAAGAGCGCTTCAGGAGAGTTGGCTGGCAGATGGGTTTAATGCTGCCATAAAGATAATATAGACTGTTTCTAGCGTTTAGTCAGAACATGCTGTGCTTCTTTCTGACCATTTAAAAAGAAATGTGCTTTAAAATTGTAATAATTGTAACATTTTAAATACGTTCTGAACTGTTAACAAGTTCTGCAATTTAAACTTTTATCACTATCATCTTTTCATTTCGCTTTCTTTTTTATTCATTGATACTTTTGTTTTTTGCTTTTCAATAGTATGTTTGTTTTTTGTTGTATGTGTTTCATTTATTTATAATTAATTAATTTGTTAGTTGTTTTGTATACTCTTTTGTTTATTCATTCTTTTAATTCTTTGAGACCTACATTTGTTCTTTGTTTCATTCATTGGTTGGGTTTTTTGTTTTGTTGTTTTCGGTTGGTTTTTGTTGGTTCTCTTTCTTTTGTTTGTTCATTTGTTTTCTGTTCATACTTTTATTCATCATATCATCCTATAGTCTATTTCTTTTTTTGGTTTGTTCACCCATTTTCATGTATTCTTCTCTGTTCTTTCATTGAGTGTTCTTTATTTCCTTCAGTTTTGTTTTGCTTTTGTGCACTCTTTCAATTTTTGGATTTGTTTATTCATTTTTCTATTTTTAATTTCCTCCAATTTTTCTTTGAAATCTTTTAGTTTATCATTTATTGTCGGTTTCTTCATCCTTTTTTGCTTTTTGTTTTTTCATTTGTTATTTATTTCATGCCATTTTGTTTTGTTTGCTCTTGTTGGTGGATTTTTGTTTTTCTCTTTTGTTTATTAATTGTTTTTTATTCATTATTTGATAAATTCCTTCAATCTATCATTTATTTCTCTTTTGATTTGTTAGTTTGTTCATCCATTTTCATTTGTTCTTTTGTTTGTTCTTTCGTTTGGTGTTCTTTATTTCCTGCCGTTTTGTTTGCTCGTTTGTTGGTTTTTGTTTTCTCTATTTCTTCTTTTGTCCATTTGTTAGTTTATTTCTTCTTTTTTTCCAGTTTGTTGCTTTTTGATCCTTTTTGGTTGTTCTTTTGTTCTTTATTTCCTGCCGTTTTATTTTGTTTTGTTTGCTCTTGGTTCTTTTGTTGTTCTCTATTTCCTTTTTGCTTTGTTGGTTTGCGGTTTTGTTTTCTCTTGTTGGTTTCTTTTTGTTCTTCTCTTTTTTTGTTCTTTCATTTGTTGCTCCTGCCATTTTGAGTTTTTACTCTTGAAGTAATTTCTTATTCAATTTGGTTTGTTTACCTTTTTTCATTTATTCTTTTGTTTGTTCTTTATTTCCTGCCATTTTGTTTTGTTTTGTTTGCTCTCGTCTGTTCTTTTCATTCTTTTTTTTCCCATTAGTTCTTTATTTTCTTTGTTTTGTCGGTTTACTGTTTTATTCAAACTTGTTGGTTGGTTTTGTTCATTCTTTCTCTTCCTTTTCGTTCTTTTGTTTTTATTAATCTCTTTATTAATTCTTTTAGTCTCTTGTTTGTCAATGCTTTTTTGTTTATTTTCATTTGTTCTTTATTTCCTTCCATTTTGTGTTGTTTTATTTGCTCTTGTCTGTTGGTTTTTGTTCTCTCATTTTGGCTATTTTCTTTCCTCTTGCTTGTTTTCTTGGCTTTCCCTCTCTCTCTTGTTGTATCGTTCAGTCGTGCATCAGTATAATAATGTTTCATGCCGGTGTTGTTTGGACTGTCTCAGCGGCGTTCATGCCGTTTTCTCCTGTGTCCTGTGTTATACGTCTCCTTTAGTCTCTGTGGGGGGTCTCCATACATCACCTGGACAGACACGTGTGCTGTTATCGCTCAGCAGTCACTACTCTTAAAATAACCCTCACAGTCCTGCCGGGGCCTATTTCATCACTCTGACAGCAGCAGTGCATTATTGGTAGTTTCTGGAGCTAAAAGATTTTGGCCATATGGGCGTCATGCCTCACTTCTGTTCGTCTTCAGATTGTCACAGGAATTGCTGGAAAGGGGATGACGAATGCTTCTGCTTGTCTTTAAATAACACAGCCGCCATCCATCTTGTTCGCCGCAGTTAAATATGAAAGTCATTCACATAATGCAAATGTGGGTCCTATAGCACATCTCTGGTGTGTTTGGGTGCATTTGTAACGCGCTCACCCTCGTTCGCTCTCTTATGCAGGTCGACAGACTCATGGAGCTGCATTTTAAGTACCTGGAAGCCATTCAGCTCGCAGACAAGAGGATCGAAGGAGAGAAGCACGTAAGATTCACACACACACACACTCACTCACTCACTCACTCACTCTCTCTCTCACACACACACACACACACACACACACGTTCACACTTGATTGGCAGTATTTCCTCGGCAAGGGCAGATCTGTGTGTGAAGATAAGAGCAGACCTACCAGACTCAAACGTCACTGGGATCTTCCCGGATGCTCCGCTCGCCTTTAAAACCGAACGCTGTTTAACTTTTACACTGAGCGCTGATTCGCACACACGTTCTCATCTGGAGTCTGTGTAGTCGCAACTCGACCAACACCCAAACATAAACCGTTGGGTTGGTCTTGCTTCATTTAAAATGTTACATCTCAAACAGCTCGTGTTGGCATTAAAACACTGATCCAAATACTTCAAATGTGTTCTCACTACTCAGAAAGGTGAAAACCAGCATGGTCTTGTGGATCCTGGACAACTATAATGTTATATTATATTACTAATTATTTTTCTTAATCTTAATCATAATATTCATAATAGTAATTATAATTATAATAATAAATAATAAGCATATTTATATAATAAATAATTATTCTGCTTACTAATTTTGAATTACTTTAAATGTGAATTCCTTTGAAACTTCACATTTAAGCCAAAGTTTATTCAAAAACACTGAAAAAAAAACATTGCCATGTGCATTGTGAATGCAAAAATTTGCATTAAAAACATTGCAAATTACATTTGAAAAACAATGTATTATTAGCATTGTGAATAGAAACATTTACCTAGTTCTAAATATGATAATATTGTATGTGTTTAAAATAATAATAATAATTGGTGGTGGTGGTGTTGTTGCGTATTTTTAAAATAATCTATTATCATTTATTATTAACATTGAATGTCAACATTTGCAGAATTCCAAATATAATAATATTGCATATTTACAATAATCTGTTTCGTTGTGAAAGCAAAACTACTTTGTTTGGCCTTCCAAAAGAGGACGATATCCGGTATTCGGCCAATCACAATGCACTAGATAACTGGCCAATCAGAGCACACCTCGCTTTTCAGAACGATGAGCTTTGTAAAAATCGACACGTTTCAGAAAGGCGGGGCATAGAGGAGAAACAATGATGTACAGTATGTGGAAAATAATGTGTTTTTTTAACCTTAAACCACATAAACATTTCATTACACCAAATACACAAAATAATGTTCTTTTTAGCAACATCATATGACCCCTTTAATACATTCGCATTTTTGTTATTGCATATTAATTAAAAAACTATTATTATCATTGATAGTATTGCATGTAATTTTAAAATCTATTATTATTATTAATATTATTAAAACATTAGTATTGTTGTTGTAATTGCATATTAATTACAAAAGAAAATCTATTATTATCATTGATAGTATTGTGTATACTTTTAAAATAATCAGTTATTATTATTATTGTTGTTATTGTTTTTATTAAAAAGGATAATGTTAGTAATACATTTTTATTAAAGTTTTGTGACTTGGTTTATTAATGGAGAATGTAATTGGCATGCGCTCACAGGTGTGTGTTTAAAGGCTTTTTACCGACGCTCTTAGCTTGTCTCATCCAATCAGGTTTTAGAGCCGTAACTCTCGTTATGTAAGTTGTGGGGTCTCAGCCAGTGATAATTAACGTGGAGATGATTAAAGGCAGATGCTAATTGATGATAATTGTCAGGTTGGGTGGTTATTCCACATTGTGTAACTGTATTTCATTAGCCAACATCCCTGAGTGTGTGGAGGGTGTGTGTTGTGTTTGTAGGGTGGACTGTGCTTCGTGTGTGATTATACTGTATATGTGTGTGTGTGTGTGTGTGTGTATGTGTGACTGATTATGTGTGCATGTGTGTGATTATACTCCGTATGAGTGTGTGTGTTATACTGTGTGTGTGTGACTGATTATGTGTGTATGTGTGTGATTATACTCTGTATGAGTGTGTTTGTGTGTGTGAGCTCGGGGATATTGGCGTGTGTATGTTGAGGATGTGATCTGGGCACTGATGTGGACTCCTGCAGCTTGTGTCTCATCCATCCTAATGTGTGTGTCTGTGTGTGTCTGTACGTGTGTGTGTGTTCAAGATGGTTTTCAGAGATGTTTCAGCTTGGGCTGAACAAGTAATATAATGTAGTTTTGATCCTTCTAAACATATTTGATATATACAATACTATTCAGAAGTTTGGAGTCGGTACAGTGTTTCTGAATGAAGTCTCGTCTGCTCACCAAGGCTGAATTTATTTGATCATAAATACAGTAAAATTGTGAAATATTATTACAATTTAAAATAACTCTCTTCTTTGTGAATATTTAATTAAATTTGTAATTTGTTTCTGTGATCAAAGCTGAATTTTCAGCATCATTACTCCAGTCTTCAGTGTCACATGATCTTCAGAAATCATTCTAATATGCTGATTTGCTGCTCAAGAAACATTTCTGATTATTATCAATGTTGAAAACAGTTGCACTGCCAAATATTTTTGTGGAAACCGTGATACATTTATTACAGATTCCTTCATAAATAGTTTAAAAGAACAGCATTTGTTTGAAATATAAATCTTTTGAAACGTTAACGAATCTTTTGAATAAATGTCTTTACTGTCACTTTTGGTCAATTTAATTCGCCATTGCTGAGTGAAATATAACCACGCTATATTGATTATATCACAAAGGTGATCAGGACCCCGATGTGAATCTGCCTGATAAATCGTACTTTAATCATGATCATGATTGCTGCTTCTCTCAATTATTGCATAATCATCTGTGATATTTACCCGCCATTTGTGTTTGCATTGGGAACAAGCCTGAAACAAGCTTTCATGGTTGCCAGATTTTAAGAGACTAAATCCCCCAATCACAGCTTTTTTTGTAAATCAATACATTTTCTGAACAGTGGTTTACTTAATCTACCCAACCTGGCAACCATAGATAATTATTTATTTATTTTAATTATCTTTTTTAATTTAATGATTATTATCTCTTTTACTTCTACTTTAGAATATATATATATATATATATATATATATGTGTGTGTGTGTGTGTGTGTGTGTACACTATTATTTATTGTTTTTATTTATTGCAGAGATGAAATATTGACTTGGCAGCAGTGTTGCCAAGTCTGTGGTTTTCCAGCTTTAACACTGTTGCCGCGGGTTTAAGCGACCCCAATAACATGATATTTAGCCCCTAAAATGCAAATTTCGTGTGTGTGTGTGTTTCCCATCCACCTTATCTGACTTTCTGCTCTGCATCTTCTTCAGAGTCCTATAAATTGTCTCTCAGAAGCGGTGACAGGAATATGACCGTGGAAATGTCTGCTCTTGTTTCGCACCCGTCGACTGAACACCAGCACTCCCCACAGATGGAACAGTGTTAGAGGCTTTCTCCGAGCGCTATAAAAGTATATCACCCATAGCAGAGCCCTTGTTTAAAAACACCTCGGAGTGCTGTCAGCGCCGCGCTCATGTCAACCCGTCTCGCCTTCTTTTATTGCCTAATGACAGCTACAAATTCTCTCCGAATTGCATTTCCTAAACACAGACCCCCATAAACCCTCTCTGCGTTCGGTCTGCTCGTCTCCTGCTCTTCTCGTTTTGCCGCAGCACCTCACACTCGCTCACACACGCACACACACGCACAAGGCTCTTTGGGAAATCTCGAAAGGATCCGTGGAGGAAGTGCTGGCAGGGTGTGCTCGGATTAATTTAGTCTCGGCATGTCCCGTGAGACTCAATCACAGGTCCCGGCGCTGCTTTGTTCTGCCTGTCATATTAACACCTGTGCCAGTCCGCAGTTCTCCAACAGGAAGTGACTAAAAATCGCTCTGTTTCCCGGAGGTGAAGCCGCTTGTTATTTGCACTCGTGTAATTGACTTGCCGAAGGCTGTGCCTCTGTAACGAGACTTGAATAACACCTGCAAAAGATCGAAACGCTTGACAGCGTGATGACAATTTTTGTTTACATAATGTGTGTGTACTGTGTATATTTATTATGTATATATAAATACACACACATACGGTATATATTTTGAAAATATTTACATGTCTATTTATATTCATATAATTTATATTATAAATAAATATATTTAATACATAACATATTTTTCTGGAATATATACATGCATGTGTGTGTATTTATATATACATAATATAATATATATAATTACAAGAAATTACAAATAATGTGATATGTACGTTACATTACTATATATTAGGGCTGTCAGTTTAACGCATTAACTTAATTAGTTATGAAAAAATTACGCGATTAAAATATTTTAACGCAGTTAACGCACTGGCCCCTCCCCCAAACCTGTACGTCATCTTACATTCCATACAGTTGACTGTTGACAAATATGACGCAGGGCAACAACTTCATAAATGCAGTTAGGCACTAAAATTCAAGATATTGGGCCTCATTCATGAAACACGAGCAGAATAATTGACTTGCCGAAGGCTGTGCCTCTGTAACGAGACTTGAATAACACCTGCAAAAGATCGAAACGCTTGACAGCGTGATGACAATGAACATATTTTTTTGCACACTCTTTAAATCAGTCCTTAAGTAGGAACTGAAATTCCTTAAATTAACATAGAAAGTATTTACTTTCTTAATGTGTTACTTGTCCTTAAGTAACAGTATTAATGTATGTACTTAATATATACATATACATATATTACTCATATACATTTAATATAAATGTATAGCTAATTTTTAAAACGTTTATTTAAAATATTAAAATTAAATTAAATGTGTATATATGTGTGTGTATATTTATATGCATGACTATATTTTAACGCAGTTAACGCACTGGCCCCTCCCCCAAACCTGTACGTCATCTTACATTCCATACAGTTGACTGTTGACAAATATGACGCAGGGCAACAACTTCATAAATGCAGTTAGGCACTAAAATTCAAGATATTGGGCCTCATTCATGAAACACGAGCAGAACGAATTTTTGTGTAAACCGTTCGTAAAGCTGTTCTGACGTAAATTTTCGAATTCATGAAAATGTTAGTATTTTCAAAATGTTAGTTGGTACGAAAGAAATGTACACCTGCTCCTTAAAAAAAAAAAAAAAATACTACTACTTGCAAGTTGATTTCAATGAAACATTAACATATTTCTGGTCTTAATTTGCTTGATTCATCAGTCCACATTATTTTAAATAAAAGAAAGTTTGTCTTTTTAATCTTTTATCAAAATGTAATTAACTTGCATGGCCACTGAAACAACTTTTCTTTTCAGCTAGCATCAGCAAGGTCGCACAGACTCTGTTGGTTAATGCTAACCAATAGCCAATTAGCTATTTAATCATTGTTTTAGGCTGCTGTTATAGGGAATTTTATGAAACCTTCATGAGACACAATACTGTTAATTTAATAACATTTTACATTTACGCATTTGGCAGATTCTTTATCCAAAGTGACTTGTATTGCATTCAATGCATACATTTTAAAAGCTCATGCAACCCTGAGAAGCGAACCCATGACCCATATTGTTACTAGCGGCATGCTCAACATTTTGAGCTACAGGAATGAATGAATGCTTGATTTCAAAAGGAAAGGCCACTATTGAGACGCTCTGCGAGGTGAACTTGACCTTCATCCTGCTCAGAAATCCCACTTTTCCCAATGCAAATCATCTTTAATGGATAAAATCACATGCTGTCCACAAGAGTTGCATTGAATGTGATTTGACCTGTTCTGTTTTTTTGGACAACGTCTGAATGGTTTTGGCACAATCTAAGCGTGGTTCTCTCAGAAAGCCTCTCGCCGCGATCAGAGCCGCGTTCTGTGTGTCTTCAGCAGCCCGTGACGGCCAGCTCTCGCCAGACTGCTGTTCCTGAGGCGTTCCCTTTGTGTTCACAAGCCTTTCTGCTCGTGCACACTCTCACACGTTTGAGCTTGCCAGCGTTTTATGCTCGAAAAGATTGAAATCCCCTGGAGAGAGGCCAATGTCAATCGCCGCAATTATGGCACTCAACAAATGCCAAGCGTCTTTGTCCCTTTAGATTCGGCTGCAGGTGCTGAAAAGCTGAAGTGTGTGAAAAAATCACCTTTTTGAAGTGATCTGAGATCATTATCCAGAGCCTTTTGAACATGCATGGAGCTGCGGATCAATCACTGCATGTGGTTTTCTTGCTAATCAATATGCATGTATTAGGTTGGCTTAAGACAACCTACTGATCTACTATTTAAGCTGCTGCTTCTGAGACTAAATTTTAATTATATTATTAATTTATATTTAAATTAGGATTTTAATAATTTTAAAATGCATCTCCTCCTAGAACTCAGGTCATACCTTCAGACTGGTCTGACTCGGGTTGCTGTATGTTTTCTAACTGATCGGATTTGCTATTTTCATTAAACGGACGATCAAACTACGAAAATTTCCATAGACTTTCATTGAGGGGGTCAAAACTTTTGTACAAAAGACTTTTGCAAAGACTTGTCGCGTGTTTAAGCTGTCTATCACCAGCAAAGCTTAATGACTGTCCTATAGGACAACATGTTAAATCATGCTAGGAACATGTTAATTCATGGTAGCAGCATGCAATAGCATGCTAGCAACATGTTAAAACTTGGTAGAAACATGTTAACAACATCCTAATCATGCTAACAACACTGTAATTGTTGTTAACATGCTAATCATCCTAACAACGTGCTAATCATGACAACATGGTAATTGTGCTAGAAACATGCTAGAAACATGCTAGAAACATAAGCATGATAAAAACATGCTAACAGCATACTAATCATGCTTACAACATGGTAATTGTGCTAGAAACATGTAATTATCACGTTAGACACGCTAGAAACATGTTAGCAACATGCTAATCATGATAAAAACATGTTAACAACAGTAATGGTTAATTATGTTAATTATGCTAAAACATCCTAGCAACATGCTAATCATAAAATAAACATGCTAACAATGTGCTAATCATACTAACAACACAGTAATTGTGCTAGAAACATGTAATTATCATGTTAGAAACATGCTAGCAACATGTTAATCATGCTAGAAACATGTTAACAACATGCTAATCATGATAAAAACATGCTAACAACACTAATTGTGTTAGAAACATACCAGCAACATGTTAATTATGCTAAAACATCCTAGCAACATGCTAATCATAAAATAAACATGCTAACAATGTGCTAATCATACTAACAACACAGAAATTGTGCTAGAAACATGCTAGCAACATGTTAGAAATATGCTGACAACATTCTAATCATGTTAACAACACTGTAATTGTGCTAGAAACAAGTTAGCATCATGCTAATCATGCTAGCAACATGCTAATCATGTTAACACAGTGCTATCATAATCTATGTAAACTTTCAAACTTGCTTCAGACTTTGAGGCTAGGCTTTTTCAAGCCAACCTTAAAGTTTGTTAACAAATTTTACTAATCTAGTTTATTAAGTGTCTAATGGTCATTTATAAATTTCAGGATATGGTTCGTCGTGGAGAGATAATCGACGATGCGATGGACGATGAGTTTTATCTGCGGCGGTTGGACGCCGGACTCTTCGTCCTTCAGCTCCTCTGTTATATCATGGTGGAGATCTGTAACGCTGGCGTTCCTCAGGTACGTTACCATCCTTTCATGTGTGATTAAAGCTGAATGTTTTTAATTCTGCATGCTGAAATGTGTTTTCTCTTCCAGTTACAGCAGAGAGTCCATCAGATCCTCAATCTCAGGGGAGGATCCGTCAAAATAGTCCGTCATATAATGAGAGGTAAGATTACAAATGATTTCAAAAGCTCATGTCAACATATAAAGGCAAAATATACTTAGCATACATAAAATGAAGCCTACTTTTATAACCCTTAGGATTTTTGTGCACAGTGACATTATTTTCATAACCGTTAAATGTATATTCCACCCAAATTTTTGTTACTGTAATGCATCAGCTTATTTTATTTTAGAGTGTTTTTCATTATTTTCACTGGTTATTCTCATTAAATTCTGATTACTGTACTAATACGGTAAAAATATTGTAATACATTTCTTAATTTTATTTTTTACATAAATATAATGTATTTTTTTATTTTAATTTGAATAATATGGCATTATTTCTGTGCACTACACTAGTAAGAATGAAAATATTGTGGCATAACAATAATGAGATATTGTGGGGTAATTGTGTTTAATTGTCATGAAAATATGTTTCAATGCAATATGTACTGTGTGTGTATATATATAGTGCTGTCAAACGATTAATCGTGATTAATCGCATCCAAAATAAGTTTTTGTTTATGTAATATATGTATGTGTACTGTGTTTTTTTATTATGTATATATAAATACACATAAATACATGTAAATATTTTCAAAATATATACTGTATTATATATATATATATATATATATAACTAATATTTAAATATAACTAATATCTAAATTGAATCAAACCAGTGTTATTTACACTGATGTTAGTATAGTTTTAATATTTTAATAGTTTTTGTTTCTCTATTCTATTATTTTCTTATATTATAATGTATTATTGTTTATTATAATATTTTTATATTATGTTTATTATTCTATATTTATTTATTATAATACAAAATGTTATTATATTATTTTTCTGTTATTTGTCACTTATTTTAGTACATTAAATTAAATAAAACGAGAAATGTTGCCTTGGCAACTAGCTGGAATAAAAAATGTTTTATATTTTATTTTTAGTTTGGTTAACATCTGTATTATTTCAAGATGGTCTTAATTTTAGTTTCAGTTTTAGTTAACTGTAATAATGCGGTTAATCTCAAAATGGCTGATTTACTGAATCACTCTTGAGTGTTATGTTGATCTGTCAGGACTTCTAAACCTTTAGCACTTGAATGTACATGTTTGTAGATGTTGATGAGTTCACTAGTGGTTTTCTCAGTAGTTCAGTCTCAGGCTAAAGCGTATAAAGCAGCACTTCTCGTCAGGCATCAGGTGTATGGTGTTTAGCCGTTCATGAACACATGTCCGCAGGCCATCAGCACACACACCGCAGCGCTGAAGCAGATTCCCTGTTGCTAAAGCTAAAGGTTTGCTGTGCGCTGCTGTGTATTTCCCTCTTTATTTCCTCCCGCCCCTCCATCCTTTCTCTCTTTCTCGATACGAGTTGTTCGGCTTCGCCCACTCTTCAGCCCAGAGCACCTCGATTAAGTCTTGACAGCTTTCTATTTCTCTCTCTTTTGCACTGACTTTCCTTCTTTTTTCATCCACCGCTACTCTTTCATACTTCACCCAGTATTTCTCTTGGGAAGCACCTGACTCTCTTGATTTTATTTTTATGAAAGTTTAGTGAACAGTGTGCTGTCTGGAGGAACTTTCCAGCTGTCCTGTCCCGTATCTGTATGACGGGAGATGGGCGATCAAATATTGACAATAAATTTGTGAGGATTTTGTTGGCGACGTAAAATTGAGTATTACAGTGCATTGCTATTCAGCCATTAAGTTTCCTGATGTTTTTTTGTCTTGCATCTTGTAATTAATAGTGTTAAGATAGAGATGCTTTAGTAAAATAAATTAGAGTTGGAAAGTTTGATTCATTTCCTTGAATCAGTGAATTGATATGGCTTTTTAGTATATAATAAAATAAATAATATATATGTAAACATATATACTATATATAAATTTCATGTTTAACTGTTGTAAAAAATGTGTTTGTGTATTTATA